GAAAAACATCAGGTAATTAGGCATATTGAGAAAATGTCAATATTTTTTAATCATTCAGCTTATTCCTTCTCTAATATAGAAAAGCGTAGGCACGATAATTCGGAAGATAAGGATCAGCAAAGCGCCGCAGAAATAAAAAAACAAAAAAAAGCACGGTTTGATGAGGACAAAATTTGGATGGATAAGCACATGAAAAAACATCGTGCTGTTTCAAACTATTCGTGGGAGGAATCATTAGAAAGTAAAGACAAGGAAGAGGTATACATAAAATTATTTTATTGATGATTTAAAAAGTTCAAAATTTCTAATTTTGTACTTTTGTAATTTCAAAAGAATTACTCTTATTTGATTCAATTGGCGGATCTCTACTTCCTTAAACCAAAAAACCGTGATCAATCTGCTCAAGAAAAACGTAAGTTTGTTACAATACAAACTATAAAAATCGTCAAAAATTTATCCTAAATTTGTTTATTTTTATAGCTGGCCATCCTCGTACGTCAGATCCTTACGCGCGAACTCATCATCGTTCAGATGTGCGACAAAGTAGTATTACAATTTATTAATTTTCATAGATCGTAAATAATAAAACACAATGGTAAAAAGATATATATATTACTCTAAAGGTTCGAAGGCACCTAAAAATCCGTTGATTTTGGTTCCACCATCTCCTTCGGCATTCGTTACCATGTACAATGTCAAACAATTATTACAAGATGCAAGGTATGAATTGGCATATTACATATGACAAAATGGGATAAGGTACGCATTTACATTAAATATGAAGCTAATTCATAGTGACTATTATAGGTTTGAAGAACAAGCAAGTCTTCGTAATAATCATAAAAGGGAACGTTTTATTAAAATCTGTCGAAACGGAAAGACTTTTGAATTTACTGATTCAGTTGAAAATTTCCAGGAATCAGATTGGTTAGAATACAAAATTTTAATAGACATATACGTCGAATAATTTATAACTTGTATATATTACTTACAGGAATCGAGTAGTTTGCGTTATAACTGACGGAAGCGAGTGGTTATTTAAAAAATACAAGTGGAAAACTCCAGAAGAAACATT